CCGGAACTGGGAATTGAACTCAGGCCCTTGCGCTTGCCAGGCAAGCACTTATTCTACTGAGCTAACTCCCTGGCCCCCCGTGCCATAAGTTTCTGTTTCCTCAGTTTCTTCTGGGATATCTTTTTCTTCTGTGCAACTTCCTCCTCTGGTTTGGGAACAATTTGCTCCTTCTCAGTAAGGATCATTTCAGTACGGCAGGGGAGCTCAGGGATGGGTTAATCTGGCCATGAGCTCTGTAAGTACGGCGGCGCATCTTGGGTGCTTTGTTCACCTGGATATGTTCAATAACCAGAGAATCTACATCTAAACCCTTAAGCTCAGCATTATTCTCTGCATTTTTAAGTACGTGCAGCAAAAATTCAGCACTCTTTTTGGGCCACTGACCCTGTGTTCAGCCCTACTGTTTGGCCTGGACACACCTACCAACTCCACCATCGTAACGCCGGAATGGCACACATTGCTTCTTTCATGTGACATCCTTCAGATACTTGGTGGCCTTCTGGATATGCATACCCTTGATGGCCTGGGAAGTTTCACGCGTGTTCTTAAAGTGAATGTGAAGATTTGAGCCTCTTGATTTGCATGATTTTGTGGGGGTTTCTGGGTCGAGAGGATAGCAAACCATTTTCACAGGTTACCTCAGGCTGCTCAGAGGAAGAGTGAGGATCTTGTTTTGAAATTAAAAAAAAAAAAAAAAAAGAAAGAAAAGGCTCAGGGCTGTTGCTCAGGGTAGTGTGCTTCCCTAGACTGTATGTAGCCCTGGGTTCCGGCCTCAGGACTATGAGCAACAAAAACACACAGGCCTTGCTGTGTAGGAATCTATTGGTCTCTCAGTGTTGTCTGTTGTACTTGGGAAGAAAGAGCGGCAGGAATAAGGAAGACAGACGAGAAAACAAGAGCTGGGTTAGGAGGTCGCTCCTCTGCCTGGTTGGCAAAATGATCCCCAGAACAACAGTAAGGGCCTTTACAAAGTTGTAAGACACAAGATTGCCTAGCAACTAATAGCCCACAATGTCCAGGCAGGATGTTAAGACTGAGGTAGTTTGACTGCTTTAGGCAATGAGGCCTCATCCTGTCTCCCATACAGGATCAATTTCGGTTTTGGCGGGTCCCAGCAATGAAGATTTATGGGGTCAGCATTTGTGAAAGCCCGCAGGCTAAACGGCTCTCCAGGAGTATCTGCATTCCCTCTGCATCCTCCACCGGGAACAAGCCCCGTAACTGTCTGCCCTAAGAGGAAGGACAGGGCCAGGGCCCTCGAGGAGCATCTCCCCGCCCTCTGGGCCCTCGCCCATCTCCAGCATGGATAGCACAGAATTGCGAGGCAGACGCTTGCTGGGCTGTGCCAAGCGCTGCGCCCTCGCTGGCTCCCCGGGCCTGGAGGCCTTGGCCTCTTCCTGTTGTGGGAGAGCAGCTTCCCGTCATTTAGGCTCCAACGTCTGGGCAGAGCTAGTAACTCTCTGGCTACTCACTCCGGGAAGTGCTTATAGCATCTTTTTAAATGCCGTGCCAGCCCCGCCCCCAGGCGCGCTGAGCCTGAGACGCATTCTGGGCGTTGTGACACGCATCTGTAATCCAGCACTAGGGAGGCAGAAACAGGATGATCACTACGAGTCCGAGCTGCGTAGTGAGACCCTGCGCGCGCGCGCGCGCACACACACACACACACACACAAATCTTTTCAAACATTGTTCGCTCCTCCGAGGCCCTGTTAACCTTGGGGTGCTGGAGGCGGAGCCTACGCCCGTGTGGCTGGGGCTCTCTTCTACTCAACTTCCGGCTGTCTCCTCCCAGCCCTCTTCCGGCTTCCCTAGGGCTTGAGCACTGCCTGCTCCTCTGCTGTCTTCCTGCAGAGGGTGTCCCTTCTCCCCAGAGAAGGCACTTAGGCTTCAGGTCCAGGGCCTGCCCCCCCCCCCCCCCCCGCATGTTGCTGTTTAACTTTGTGCTTCCGGTCGACTTCTGGCTGCCTCAGTTTACTGACTTGTGAAGTTGCTTTGAAGCCTAGCTGCTTAGTCTGCCCAGGCCTGGGAGGCCATGCTGTGGGCCAGCCTCACTGCCCTGGTGCTCCGATGCTGCTGCACGGGGTTCCTGAGGCCTGCAGGGAGGACGCTTGGCTCCTCCCTACACAGAGCATCAGGTCAGCTCCCTGCCCGCATGGCTTCCGTCTCCTCCCCTAGTCTATATGGAGCCGCTCCGACTTAGTGGGATGATTTAGGGCCACAGAGTGAAAGCCCTTCCTCGGACAGTGTTCTGACACAAGGCCCGTCCCTGTCTCCTCTGCGGCCTGGGTCAGCTGCAGCCTTGGAAGCTGTGTCAGGCCGCATTTAGAACAAAAGCCAAGCCCTGCTGCTCTTCCGAAAGAGCTGCGTGACCTCTCCACTTCCTCAGGTTTCAGCCAGGGAACAAAACAACCACAGTGACGGGCTAAGGGCCTTGCGCAGGCTGGAGCCACACCTGCCAGTGTCCAGAAAGGTGGACAATCAGTGACCCAGCTCTGAGCCAGTCACGACACAAAGGGAGCCCTTCTCTTCCTGCCTCTCAGGGGCCATGTCCCTGGGCCCCTGCACCACCCCACAGTGGGTCTGAGGAGCAGCACCTGCAGTCCTTGTTCTCCAGAGAGCTCTTGCTGTGTCCATGTCTCCAGGGACCCTAAGTGCAGCTAGGATTCCCCTTTCCCTGACTTCCAAATGGACCCCTGCTCAGGACAGAAGCAGGGAGTGGAAGTGAACACTTGCTAGACTAACATGAAGCGGGATATGGAGTCTAGAGGGCTCCTCCTAGCCCAGTGCCTCAGGCGACACAAGTTACAGCGTTGCCTGCCTGGGAAGCCTGGGTGACGATGGCTTCAGGGCCCATTGAGAGTTGTACAGCAGGGTGTGTGTCTGGGGCACGAGACCCACCTCTTGGCCAGCAGCTTGTTCATCTCCTCCATGAGGCCTCCACTGCCGCCCCCACTGCTTGCCCGGTTGGCATCGGACTTCGAGGTCCCGCTGGGACTGGAGCCTCCCGAAGCATCTTCCGGCTGAGGGCAGAGGATGCCATGTATCAGGAGAGGCAGCAGCCCTCAAGAGGGGAGGCAGGACTGTGTGCCTGCACCACCCCTTGGTGGCAGGACTCCTTCATCTACTGCCCCCAGCCCACAGGAATGATTCCATGGAAGGGAGGCGGGATCCAGCTCCTCTGAGCACCGTGGGAAGAAAGGCTGAGCTGGGAGACACCCAGCAACGGGGAAAAGCAAGGAAGGACCAAGAGCTGGAGACCCGGGGCTGGGGCCTGACCCTGCACCAGGTAGTGTGACACAGACTGGAGTTCTCCTCTCTGTTCCTTCTGAGAACTTAGTGCCACCCTAGGCCTTGGTAGAAACTAGTCCCTGAGATGTAACTGGAACTGACTCTTGGCCTTTGGGGCCATGGCCGAGTTTAACCCCTGGGCCTTAGTTTCCTCAGTCATGAAAAGATAACGTACAAAGTGCTATCCCTGCCTGTGGTCCCCTTCAGGAAGCCGGGGCTCTCCTGCCTGCCCCCACCCCAGGGGTCCCGAGCTGCAGTGTGCACTGTGGGTGCTGCCAGTCTGGTTCCCTTGGCTTACGGTCATCTCCAGGGCGCTTACCCGCTGCACTCTCCTCAGCTTTGCCCCTGCCAGGGCAGCAGCCAGGCCCGACACGGAGCTCTCATCATGGCTGGTGCCCTGAGCTCCTCCGGCTGGCAGTGGGGGCGGCGGTGGGGGGGTGGCACCCGTGGGTGGAGGGGGGACAGGAGGAGGGGGTGGGGGTGGAGGCCCACTACATGAGAGGGGGGCGCCGGCTGCGGAGGAGGGGTGTCCAGGTGGGAGGATGGGCCCTGAAACACAACAGGGCTCAGTCAATCTCCAGGCCCGGCAGGTGCCCAGCCTTTCGCCAGGGCGATAAGGAGCAGACCAGGTTCCCCCTTCCAGGAGGCCCTTAGGGTGGGCCTGGCTGGCCCGCTCCTTCACATGTGAGCCTGACACCCCCCAGCTTGTGGCTGCCTCTGGCCCCAGCCTTGCTTGCCCATGGGATGGGAGCTGTGCCTTTTTCCTCCTCTGTTACTTCTGAGTACTTAGTGCCACCCTAGGCCTTGGTAGAAACTGGTCCTTGAGATGTGACTGGAACTGGCCCTTGGCCTTTGGGGCCATGGCAGCAATCTGTGGGTCCCAGGGCTGACTGGGGCACCCATTTGGCCACCTCCCTGGTATAGCCTGCTCCCACTGTGTGCTGGGCATGGTGCTAGGCATGGGGAGACCAGCCTGGGCTCACTGTTGAGGGCTCAATTCTGGGAAAGGAATCAACAAACGCCATAGGCAGGCACGGTGTCAGGACCGCAACAAGCTGACAGCATGCCAGGAGCAGCGTCTTGCTGTACTGCCCATGACCAGGGCCCCTGCTCTGCTGAAAGGTCTTAGACCAGTGAGGAGAGCGAGGGCCAGGCCGAACCCCAGGGTGTGGAAGGAGGAAGCCGCTCCTCGCTGTGTGCAGGAGCTCAAATGTAAAGGGGACGTGTGCATGGGGCGGGTGGCCCGGCCGTGGGCAGCACCGTAGAGGGCACTTCAGCACACAGAGCAAGGCAGAGTGGATGAGGGCGCCACTGACGCCCCATCAATGCCCCCCTTCCTGGAAGGTTCTGCATCCCACACGAACTCCGGACGCAGCCCCCGGGCAGCCCCTGTAGCTAGGCAATGGGCCCACCCCCGTGTGTCTATCATCGCCTCATCAGGGTGCACTACATGTGTGCCTCTGTTCCCCACATTCAATGTGACCACTGCATGTCCCATGTGCTGGGACACGTGCTCATCACGGGTCCGTGTCCCTGGCTGGATGTGGGTGGGGGCTGTGCCTCCCTGTGGTCTGTTTTCCTGCTCCTTCTGAGGTGACAGTCACATGCTATGGCTACAAGTGATCATCACCTCACAGAGGTGGTGGTGGTGGTGTGGCCCCACCGGCAGGGGCTCAGGGGCGGGCACTCACCTGTGGTCGAGGTCCTTCTCTCCAGAGACTCCTGGCGATGCTGCTGCTGCTCCATCACTTGTCTGGAAAGCAAGCACAGTGGCGGCTGCCTTTCTGCACTCGGACCATGGGGCTACTTCCTGTGCTCACTGGGGCCACTGTGGTAGGTGGTCCCTGGTGATAGGGACTGTCAGGAGCCAGTTCCTGCATGGGCTCCAGCATCCTGAGAAGGGGGCTCACCTACGCACAGGCCACCCCTGGATGATTGGATTTCAGCCACTGGTGGGACCAGGCTTTGCCTGGTGACTGGCTCAATGGCTTTGGGGGCCTCAGGACTCCTGTTCTCAGTGCCCCCCACTGAGCTCCCTGGGGCAATGCTTAGGCACTGAGGCTGCCACGTGAATGCACACAAAGGCTGTGCATCCCATCATGCCTGCTGCAGACCAGCCACACGCCCAGGTCTACTTGGAGGCCATTAGTGGAGCAGAGCTCTGTGTACCTCCTCTCTCACAGCACAGTGGCCTTGGGGCGCTCTCAAACGCCAGTTGAGTGAGGACAGTGAACCCCCGGTACATTCATGGAACCCAGCGAACAAGACACCAGAAAGGGAGGGGCCTTCCACAGTCCTCTAAGGATGGAGCAAGGCTGCAGCCAGGAGGGAAGGACACCAAGCCTGCCATTCAAGCCCTGGCGGAGTCAGCTCTGGACTGGGTCTCCACTGTGGCGATACAGGGGCCAAGAAGCCTGGTCTGTTGTGGGTTGTGGATCTCTAGAACACAGCAGGCGCTCAGCAGTGCATGTGGAGGACAAACACGTGAATGTCACCCTGGCAGGGACGTCCTGGTGCCCGCAGTTGCCCTCATGGGTTTGGGCAAGCCACTGCCCTCTCCATTGTAAGAGTACCACCCATTCAGGGTGTTTGACAGGGTTTAGTGGAGGCCTACAGAGGAAGGAACAGGTCCTGGGGTCCCCTCAGCATCTGCATTCACTTCTCCATCCCAAACTCCATCCAAGCTGCAGCCTCCACAGAGGCCGCAGACTCAGAAAAACCATTAAACGAGATCACCTGAAAACTATTTAAAGATCAGCACTGAAGCGATGATTGTGTTTGCATTAAAAGAGAAAGCATGCCATGCTTGGGGTCATCCCTCCATGGCAGTGGGACTGAAACCACTGGTGGTCACTCACAGGAGTCCCTGCAGGTCCCCGCCAGACACCAGGGGGCGCTCTGCCTTGAGACCACACCCTCTGCTGCCCCAATACATTGGACTTGGACCTCCGGTGAAGGGAGGAGGCATTGTGGGTGTTTAACCAGGTCTGAGAGAACAGCTGGGGCTGGAGGTCAAAGCCACTGCCTTTTGTACCTCCTGTCTGCTCTGGGCAGAGACACCTGTGCTGGGCTCCAGGCTCCTGGCTGACTCTGGGCCTGCCATTTCCTTGCTGACCTTCAGCCAGCTCAGCTTGGAAAGAGTAACACCAACCCAGAAGGGTCAGTGCAGGATGCCAGCAAAACAAGGTGTGCAAAGGCCTTGCTCAGTTGCGAGGAAGCTGGCCTATGGTTCAGCAAACACTTAGGAATCTGCAAAGTGGATCTCATAGCTGCCAGCATGCTAGAAAGCATATTCCTGACCAGAAAGTACCTGCTAGGGACAGGGAGCATAGGGCTAACCCCATTCCAACTGAGGAGGGCGAGACAGGCACAGGGGCTGCTCGCTCCAAGGCTCTCAGATCTGGAGTCTGGGAGAGGCCAGGCTGAGCCGTCTTGGGGAAGCCCCAGCTAGTTTGTGGGAGGCAGTCCGGCCTTCTAACTCCAGTGCAGGGCTCTGCAGGTGCCTGCGCACACTGGGGCTTCTCTGGGTTCCAGACCAGAAAGCTGCAGCCTCATCAGTCAGAGGCGGAGCTCCTGGCAGGGAGGGCGGACCTGGTTTGAGCACATTTCTCATACTGGGACCCACAGCGCAAGGCTGCTACCTGGCAGCCACTGGGATCTCAGGATGAGCCCTGCCCTTCCCACTAGGGTGGCACAGGCTGTATCACCCCAGAACCATGGCGATGCCCTGCATGAGGTGACCACTTCCAGACGCATGTGGGAGCGTGCGATCACCCCTGGACCACCAGTGTCGGGATCAAGGGCTCTCTGGAAAGATGGGGTCTTGCATAGCACCCTAGTCCTGATGCCAGGAGTGCTGCTGCACCAGTGCCTGGGCCTTCCAGCTCTGCTACTGCCTGTCCCCAGTCGTAGGGAGCCCTGGCTCTGTGAGGAGGCTGCTGGGCATGGCATTACCTTCTCTGGATGTCCATTTCCTCAGGAGAGGGGCCATTCTGTACCTGACGCTGGGCAGAGGGACCTGCGGGGCAGAGAAGCACAGAGCAGAGTGGTCAGTAGAGGGAGGAAGGGCCCATCAGACCACTGTCAGTGTCCCCGCCCTGGGCTGCAGGAGGGATGCCTGAACAGCTGCCTTCCTGAAGAGCGGCCTCTCACCTGTGCGAATGCCCCTGCCTCAAGCCCAGTCAGCCAGCCCTTCCTCTCTCTTCATTGTGGCTTCTCCTTCTGAGCCCTAAATAAACTGAACCCAAACTTTAAAAAAACTGTCCCCATTAGCTGCTGGCCCCCCCTACCAGGCAGGTGGCACCTGCAGTTTCTGCTCCCCCACCTGCTTCTGGCCCTCAGCCCCTTGATACTGACGCTGGCCTCAAGTCACCTGACATAGTGGGGATGGAACCCAGGGTCCTGCACGTGCTAGCCAAGTGCTCTAGGCTGAGCCACCTTTCCAGCCCTGTGGACATGTCATCATGAGACAGCATCTTGTGAGACTTCCCAGTGCAGCGTGGGCCCTCCTGCACAGCTGGGATTAGAATTGTGTGCTATAGTGCCGTGCTGGGATGCTGCTGCTACACTGGCTCTGGCCTTGGGCTCTGGCTCACACCACTGGCCCTCTGCCTTCTCGTGGGATCTGGTCTCAGTGACCACACCGCTCATCAACTGCACTCTGTTCTCATGGGGGCCGAGGCCCTGTCCTGCTGGCCTCATGTGGCCCCTGGCCTGAGGAGTGGTCCTCCCCTGGCTGCAGCAAGGTCCTCTGTGCCTGGACTGGGCTTCTAAAGGCCAGGCTTCCCAGAGGCTGAGGGAGGACAGGAGGAACCCAGCCCCCTTCAGGAGGCTCTGCTCCTATGCTGAGGATGACAGCCATATCAGCTCGAGTTCTGTGTCACAAGGCAGAACACTTGGCTGCATAAGGCCTGCCATTCTCACTTACTTCTGCTTGGTGCTGGTGATTGGATCCAGGGCCTTGCCCATGCCAGACAGATATTTTACCACTGAGCTGCATCCCTAACCTTATTTTAAATTTTGTGTCAGGGTCTCACTAAATTGCCTAGACTGGCCTGGAACTTGTAATCCTCCTGCTTCAGCCTCCTGAGTAACCAGGATTACAAGAGTATGCCACTGCACCCAGCTCCTCCATGTTTTGTTTTGTGAGATTAGGTTTCACTGTGTAGTCTAGGCAGGCCTTGAACTCTTTACGTAGCCTAGGTTGGCCTTGAACTCACAGCCATCCTTATGGCTCAGCTTCCTGAGTACTGGGATTACAAGTGTGCACCACTACATCAGCTCCTCCATTCTTAACCACTGAAACTGTTGGTCTATGTTGAGCTACCAGGGTCCCCAGCATTATGAAGCTCAGTCCCTTTGTCTTAGGGGTGGGAGTGCAGGCCTAGGGAAGGTCCTGGTCTGTACTGCGTCACACAGGTCATCTGTGCAGTCGTGAGATCCTGACTCCTGACCCTGCGCACACGGGCCCAGCAGCCCACGCAGAGGCAGGGAAGGCAGTGGCTGCCAGGCGCTGGTCCCTAGGAAGTCTGCACGGAGCCTGCCTGCAGGTGCAAGCAGCAGGCCACAGGAAAGCCCTGCTTCCGCCTCAAGGTCATTCCAGCCCCAGGAGCCCGAGGCTTCCCTGCCTGCATCCCCATCTCTTCCACTCCAGAGTCCCAGTGCTGCTGGGTAGAGGGCCTGGCATGGCCACACACTGGATTTCGCTGAGTGGTACTTAGGGAGGCTGCAGGGCGATGGCAGTTAGTGCCAGGGAAGCAGCTGAGCACAACGGGCCTGGTGAAGACAAGTGCGCACTCTAGGCCTCAGAAGCAGGGCCTTAGGGCTGAGTGCTGCTCACCCCCAAATTCATATGGAAGATCGAGTGACCACGATGCTGGTGCTGAGAGGTGGCGGCATCAAAAGGTCATCAGACCACAAGCATGCCACGCTCATGGGTGACCTGGAGCCACTAAAGCATGAGCAAGTGCATCTGCAGCCTCCTCCTATTGTTCTTTCTGCTGCCACGGGTGCTGGCCCTCATGCTGGACGCTGCAGTCCACAGGATGAAAACTGATGGATTCCTGCTCATGGCCATCACACGGCGGCAGGAGCCACGTTGCAGAGGCTCAGAGTAGGCCAAGCTCTCAGGTCCCTGCCTGCCACCCGCCCACCTGCCTGCTTGAGAACCAATGGCTGCTTGAGAGTGCTGCTGGATTACATCTGGCCAGCACCAGATGGCTTGCGCTGACTTGGGCGGCAGTGAGGACACGTGTGTGACCTTGTCCCTCTGCTCCGCTCACAACTGGGAGCCGGGTATGGAGTCACCTGACACCTGTGTACTTTGTGCCCCTACACAACCTGTGTCCCCTTCCTTACAGTGCGGTGGGACACCCAACACGCGTGCAGATAGTGACTCCTTGCAAAGACACTGTGGCTGCTATATGAATCAGAAGTCCCAGGTAAACCCTAAAGCTCTGTGAAACACCAGCTGTCGTCACAGTGTACAGCCCTCTGGCCTGCTGTGGAGACCTCAGCCCACCTGCACGCCTGCACAGCCAGGTCTGTGCATGCTGCTCAGAAGGCAATCTCAGCTGGACACAGTGGCACACACCCATAATCCCAGTGGCTCAGGAGGCTAAGGCAGGAGGATTCCAAGTATTAAGCCACGCTCAGCAATTTAGGGAGACTTTCTCGGATAATGAACAGGGTTAGGATATAGCTCAATGGTAGAGTAGCCAGCCAGCTGCCCTGCCTGTGTGAGGGCCTAAGCTCAACCCCAGGTCTGCTTGTGCACACACATATGCACGCATGTGAGCACACACAAGAAAAAGGATCACCTCATCAAGGTTCTGAGAGGGAAGGGGATTTGCTCAGAGCCATGGGCTCACAACCCTGGCCTCGCGCCCCAGGCTCATCTCATCTGAAAGCTGGTCTTGCCAAGAGGCAGGGTCCTGCCCACCCTTTGGAGACTCCACCCCTCCACACTCAGACGAGCTTTGCCAACATCAAAATGAAAAGCCTGTTGGCACCACAGATAGAGAGGAAGAGACATTTCAGGTGGAGCACAAAGCCTGCAGAAAGCAAGGTGGTGAGGATGTGTGCTACTGGGCATCCCTGGGGTCCAGCCAGTGGCAGTCGTGGAAGGGAGGAGGTGTGGACAGGACCTGTCCTGGACATAGCGCAGAGCAGTGACAGCAGAGAGGCAGAGACCTGTGCCAAAACGCAGACCCACAGGGCAGTGACAGTTCTCATGGCCCACAGGCTCACCGGCCAGCTCCAGCTCCAGGTCCTGTTGAACACAGTAGGACCCAGAGTCCTGGGATCTGTGTGGGCCACGATGAGGGGACTTAGGAAAAGAAAAGGAGATGGGGAGAGGGTCTGGGCCCAGTCACAGCTCCCAGAAAGGCATAGATGGTGAGGAGCGGGCGAGGGAGGGCTGGCCAGCAGGGATAAGCACAGGACCAGGGCAAAGCCTGTCACTGGAGAAGGGCCAGGGGCCAGGATGCCAAGTGCCCTCTGAGGAGAACACCAGCAAGGGCAGTGTCCCGCCTGGGACTCTGAAGGCAGGGCCACAGCACAGATACTAGTGACCACCATATGCCTTTCTTAGGAGCTCTGTGGAGGAGCGAGCTTTCCCCTGAACCTGAAGCCAAATCTGAACGCACTATCTTACTTCTTATGCTTTTAGGTACTTGTTTTCAGTTGACTTTAAAAAAGTCACCCAGGGGAAAACAAAGTCACCAAGGAGCTGGGGAGATAGCTCAGTAGAATAAGCACATGCCTGGCAAGCGCAAGATCCTGAAAAAAAAAAGTCACCAATTTTGGAGGTCACACAGTAGAGCAACGGGTGACAAGTCTCCCATTAAACTAGCTTTTCTGTAGATGACAGCTTGGACCTGAGGGGGTGGTGGTGGTAACACTTGCTTATGTTAATTTTCAGAGACTTGGGGGCCACTTTTGTTGAAACCAGAGACCCTCTCACTTTGGCCCATGCATATGTCTGAAGGTGACATTTTTTTTTTTTTTTGGTGGACCGGGGATTGAACTCAAGCCCTTGTGCTTGCCAGGGAAGCACTTGTTCCACTGAGCCATCTCCCTGGCCCATGAAGGTGACATTTTGATGTTGGCGGCCTGAAGCACTACCCTCAGGCCACATAACCACCATTTTCTAAACATGGACCCTGTGCAGAGCTATGAGGATGGCTCACACATGAGCAGACCACTAACTGCTATGCCTCTCACCTGTCCCCATGCCTCAAACCATCCACTCCCTTATCCGATAAACACCCTCAAACCACGTCCTCAGAGAGGGGTTAGAGACACGCTTCCTCCCTTTGCCAATAGACTCTGCTGCAAAACTTATCCCTTCAGTGCCTGGCATCTGTGCAGGTGGCACCTGTCCAAAGGCCTCCTACAGTGCCTGCACTGCCACGAGGCTGGCAAGTTTCCCATGGGGCACCACCGCCTTTGAGGAAGCGCCTGGTGGGAAGAGGTGGGCAGAGCAGAGCAGATGAACCTGTGCACGCTGTCAGCTCCAGGGACATGAACAAGACACTACCAACACTGTGCCCTGTCCCACGCCCACACAGATGGCGGACATAGATGTGGGTTGTGGTGGCTGTATATGGGGCACAGCTCCTCAGGAGACCCCTGTGCTCACCAGGACGCTTCAGATATGCCTGTGCCAATCTAGGCAGGTAGGAGCACAGGCAAGCAGAAGGGCCTCCTGCCTGTTCCCACTCCCTGCCACAGTCTTGGCACTTCTCAGCCTTGGTACACGGTCACCGCGCAACGTGTTTGCTGAATATGCAGGTGACAGGCTCAGGAGAGACCAGAGCAGGCAGGCCCAATGTTCTTAGAGAACCAAGAGAGGCCTGGGGGTGCCACGTGCTCAAGCGGAGTACAGCCTTGGTGGGGTGGGGCCTGTGCCGCCCAAGGTTTGGGAAGGCAGGGCTGGTGTGATGTTGAGGTCCCCGAGAGTGGTGGCATGCAGACAGCAGCAGCACAGGCCAGGAAGGGAAGAGAGCTCAAGTCTCC